AACCTTGCCCCTTGTCAGCTCTACTATACACCTGGGAATTCTGATCATTCACATGAACTTCTAGGCCCATTGTCTGCCAACCCTATATATGATCTTGGATACACTCTCCATTTAGACATACCTAATTGTATAGCTTGTTCACCTATCTATGAGAAGGGGATATTTGATGAGTGAGAAGAACACAAGATTAGAAGCTCTAAAGACCTGCAGTCTCATGTTGGCTTTGCTCCTTAGTGACTGTGTGACCTCATCTGGCACATAGTCGGCAGACAGGGAATACTCGTTAATTAAATTTAGGTTTTATAATGAAAGCCAGTGGTAATTTTCTTTGTAGAAATTTCCTTTGGAAAAATCTTTTCAATGTATATCTATTCTATGAAGAAAGGGTTACTCTTGTACATTTTTAGAGAAATGAAATTTCGAGACATGCACTCTTATTTAGGAATAAGAATTCCTATAAGAATAGGAATTGCTAATGTTGATATTTCTATTCTGTGCTTTGAAGCATGCATGTGCATGTGCACATGCTCATCCTGTGAAGCAAGCAGGTTCTCTACTCTGATTTATGTCCATTCCTAATGCTGTTTCACACGTGCAGGAGCTCACAGGCAAACTGCCAGTTGAATATCCCCTGGATCCAGGGGAGGAACCACCCATTGTTCGGAGAAGAATAGGGACTGCCTTCAAACTGGATGAACAGAAAATCCTGCCCAAAGGAGAGGTGCGTCTTTCCTTTCTGTTACTGGATTATCTCACATTCTCCTTATTTTTCCCATTTGTTAGTACTTCCAGCTTTTTTATAACTTCTCCATCTCTACTGAATGCCAATGTCATTCTTTGAACCTTTTTTTTTTAATTTGCAAATATATATGTGTGTGTGTGTGTGTGTGTATGTATATGTATATATATATATATGTATATATTAAAGTGACATGGATCAATGCATTATTTTTGTGTGTGCAGTGTTTCCTCCCCCTCCCCGCTTCCCCTCTTACCCCTGGTAACCAACAAAGAAGATTCCTTCCATATTTAAACCTTTCCTTGACTTTTTACAATAATGAACTAGTACTGTATTTATCCTTCTGTGATTGACTTAGTTCACTCAGCATAATGTCCTCCAGGTTTATCCACATTATGCAGTGTTTTGCAGATTCTATGTTATTCTTTAGTATTCCATTGTGTGTAAGTACCATAGTTTGGTTATCCATTCTTCTGTTGATAAGCACCTAGGTGGTTTCCATCTTTTTGCTATTGTAAATAGTGCTGTGATGAACATGGGTGTGCATATATCTGTTTCTGTCCTGGCTCTCACTTCTTTAGGATATATACCTAGTCATGGGATTATTAGATCAAATGGTATTTCTAATTCCAACTTTTTAAGGAATCACCATACCACTTCCCACAGCGCTTTCAACTATTTCTTGAGTTAACTGATTCATCAGTATGTGTTTCCTTTTTGGTGGGATTAGTTTGCTTGCAGGGGTAAGCATTTTAATTTTGGTCGAAGTTGTTTCTCTAACCTATGTTTATGCCTATCACAAGCAACTAAGCTTGGAGAGAACATTCCAGTAACACTAATACACACTTATGTTTTTAATGGTCACCTAGCCTTTTGTTAAAGGAGCTCTGGTGGTCTAGTGCCTAAGGCATTTGACTGCTAACCAGAAGGTTGGTGTTTCAAACCCACCAACCACTCCACAGAATCCACAGAAGGAAGATGGGGTAATCTACTTTGGTAAAGATTTACTGCCTTGGAAACCCAACGGGAATGATTATGAGTCGGTATTGACTTGATAGCAGTGAGTGAGCCCTTTCTTAAAGGAGTTCTGGTGGTGCAGTGGGTAAGTGTTCAGCTGCTAATTGAAAGGTGAAATAGTTCAAACCCACTCAGCTGCACTATGGACAAAAAGACTGAAGATCTGCTCCTGTGAGGGTTACAGCCTAGGAAACCCTATGGGGCAGTTCTGTCATGTTGCATGGGGTCACTATGAGTCAGAATCAACTTGATAGCACACAACACACACACAGCCCTTTGTTACACAGAGCTAGGTATTTAAAACAAAAAAAAATCTCATCAAGTAAGTTGCGACTCATAGTGACCCTGTAGGACAGAGTAGAACTGCCTCATAGGGTTTCCAAGGCTGTAAATTTTTATGGAAGCTGACTGCCACATCTGTCTCCCATGGAGCTGTGGGTGGGTTCAAATCAATGACTTTTTAATTAGTAGCTGAGTCCATAATAAGTATTCCACAGAGCTCCTCTAGAGATAAAATGTGGAAGAAAACTATCATAGAAGGAAGACTTAGCTGTGTCCATGGGTACATGGATGCCGTTGGCTGGGGAAGAGGAGCAGAGCCTGCAATCCATAGCGTCATCTTGCTAAGATCACTGCAGAGCGAGCTGGTTGGCCTCCTGGCCTCACTGTGTTTAGAGGAGGTGCTGTAGCATTTGTCGTTTATCTTCCCCCCCCCATGGAAGTTTTTACTAATAATACTTTATTTTTTTTATTGTGCTTTAGGTGCAAATTGACAGTGCAAAATTTGTTTTACATTCAACAGTTCATGTACATTTGGTTTCACTCCCCAGTTACCATCCCCAACCCTAACCCAGTCTCCTCCTCTCCCTTCCCAGTGACCGTCCCCTATCCCTGTGCCCTTCTTAGTTATGCACTCCTGTCTATCCAGCTTTTCCTCCATGTGAATGTTGCCCCTCTGGTGCCCATGGCCAATTGCTCCAAGGGATGTATCTCTGTAGAGTAGTAGTAGTAATCTCCGTAGGTGCACTGCCCTGGGTTGAGTGCTCTGCATTAAGTCTTATTACCATTCGGCTGAGAGCCAGTCCTTGGGAGTGAGTTTTATCCCAGGCCCGAAGTGTATCCCAGCGCCACAGTCTTGGGGGTCCCACCAGACTGCATCCAACCACTAATTCTGGTCATTGTTGTGTTTTTGAATTTTCGTTCCATGTTTTTCCCCCCACTGTACCCAGGATCTCCAGTTTTGATCCCTTCCTGAGTGGTTGGCATCGGTAGCCAGGCACCATCTAGTTCTTCTGGCTCATTTATTCTCTTTGGACTGATCATGGCTGGGAGCTGGGAGCTGGGACTGGGTGTTCAGGGGAGGAGTGGGTACAAAATATAAAAACACTTGAATCTACACCTTCATAATAAGTATCCAGCCTCAGACCAAGGGAGGTTAAAGCCAGATTTACTTTTAAGCCTCAGGACCATGTCCAGGAAATGTCTTCCCAAATTCACTCTGAATAAAACTAGTTAAAATGTTGGAGGAAAAGCAGGTTAAAAGAGACAGGAGTCAAAGACAATAGAAAAAGAAATACGTATACATTTTTTTTTTAATTTTATATATTTGCTTGTTGTTGAGAACAGATACAGCAAAACACACACCAACTCTACACATGCAATTCAATGACATTGATCACATTCTGCAAGTTGTGCAACCATTTTCACCCTCTAAGTTATTCCTCCCAATTGACATAAACTCACTGCCTCCTAAGTTTCCTGTCTAATCTTTGGGATTGCTGTTGTCAGTTCGATCCTAGATAGACAGTTGTTTACAAAGCACAATGTAAAAGGCAGACATTTTTCACAAGTTAAGCTCAACTGCTGTGTGGTTTTTCAGTCTTTTAAAAAAGGAATGAGAAGGAATTAATGTTCTCATGTCAAGGGGCATCAGGTTAGTGTGAGGGTGATTGCAGAGAGGAGACCACACTCTGGGGCAAAGCAGGTAGTAGACGAATCTCCTGAGGCCAACCCAGCCATCGCAGGTCCCCAGGGACTGGTGGGCACACCCAAAAGCTTCATCCAAATTTAAAGCCACACCAGGTAGTTTTTCTCTCCTGTGAAATGAAGTTCATGCTGCTTATTTCTTTGTGTCACTAGGACGAAATGAACTCACTCACATATGGAAAACATTTAACTCAGTCTGTCCTTGTCACCTACTCTATGGTCCCTCCATATTAGTTCCGTGAAGTGGAGGCTGAATATTCAAGGGGAGGTGCAGCGTTTGGGTGGGTCCAGAATTTATCCGAGTTAGAGCGGGCGGTGAAAGAGGGTGAGATTTAGGGCATTATTTTTATGATTTATTTTACTGTTTTCCAAAGCTGAGTGATCATCAGAATTACCTAAAGAAATCCAACTCCCCCTGTTATTGGGCAGATATCTGGCAGTACCTTTTTCAAAAGCAATCTTTGTTTCCAGTGAGCAGCCCCAAGTCCACATTGTTCTTCATGCCTTCCCACTGGATCCTCTCACCAGTAACACCTTCATATGTTTCAGTAAAGGATGACTTTAGTTCCTCTCTTTTTTTACCTGCTTCTGCATGTTCTTTTTCTTCAATTAATAAAAAGTACCACCACAAAATTAGCTGGTAATCTGCAGAGTTCCTCTGGGGAAGGAAGACATCCTCCTTGGCTGTATTACATTTCTTCTGGAAATGTATTTTGCTTCCCTGTTTGTACAACAGTCAGCCATCAGGGCAGATGGCATTCAGCCTTGGGTTTGTGCGAGTGTGAGTGTAAGGGAGTGTTTGTCCTGGGCTCCCACAAACTTTGGGTCAGCGTCTTGGACCATGGCTATTGTAACAGCCCAGGAACAGCTGCTAGGTGGAGTCATAGCTCACAGAACAGCCTTTGTCCTTGGTGACTTGTTTGTTTCCGACCCCAGGCCAGAGTCCATTTTGATGTTTTCTCCCTCTGAGAGAACAAAGGCAGCCAGCATTGGAAGGAATTGGAAGGAGTTTACTTTCTCCTAAATAGTTCCATTTAAGTTTCTCCTTTACCTCTCCTTCCTGATCCTCATTTCTTTCAGGCTTAAAGTTCTCAAAAGCAAATAAAATCTAGGTAAGAATTGGGTCCTTCATGGAAACATCTAGCCTGACCAGTTGTACCAAGAGGCAAGAATGTTGTGTTCAGCTATGAAATAGGAAGGTCTGTCCATTCCCACAAACATGGCAGCGACCTGCTCCTAAATGCTTAGATCAGTTCTTGTCAGACCTTAATGTGAATAGGAAGGTTGGGCAATCTACTTCTGTAGTGATACCACCTCGGAAATCCAAGGAGGGGTTGCTATGAGTCGGATCTGAATTGATGGCAGTGAGTTTGGTTTGGAGTGAGGGCAAGATATTTGGTCTCTTCTGGTCTCACTTGTCTGTGTTTAGAAAAGCCACCAAGGCATCTGTCATGAGTTTATTAGGTCTGGAGTTGGAGCAGCTCCTGCAAGCTCCCAGGTGATTCCCATGTTACTGGTCTCTGAACTTAGAGGAACAAGATGTTAGCCCACTGCTTAGGATCTTAAACTGAAGTATTTGATCTGAGGGGTTTCACTGGAGAAGAGAGCAGTGGACAACTTGTCGGAGTTTTTGGCATTCACTAACAATCTTCATGCTCACTGTGTGTGAGCTGCCACCTCACCCCAAACCCTAACCCACCTCTCACCCCTGGCTAACAGTATCCACACACCCTGTAGAGGGAAGATACGATTGGTGGCAGGAAGGCCAGCAGCTAATGTGCTGTCTGGGCGTTTCTCCTCAGTCCACCAGGCATGTTCTGGCAGCTACAGCTTATTAATACCTGGGACTGAAACCCTCTTCTCGGTCTAATAAGGGAAAGACGAGGAGAAGGGAAAAGGAAGCACATCCAAAGAGCCCTGGTGGTATAATGACTGAACGCTCGGCTGTTAACAGAAAGGTTTGCTCCACAGGAGAAGGACCTGGTGATCTTAAAGATTACAGACGAGAAAAGCCTATGAGGCAGTTCTGCTGTGTCACATGGTGTCACTGAGAGTCAGAATTGACTCAGTGGCACACAGCAACAATAAGGGAAAACTGGCTCTACCACCATGCCTCATATGGTGTGCCCAAATCACAACCCGCACAGAGTTTTAGGTATGGGGTGGGGGCGAGAAGGACAGCTGAAGCCTGCAAAAGGAGCTTCTCAAAGATACATGGGTGTGTGGGGCTATGTCCCAGCATAAGGGGCACAAACTATATGAGCATGTAAGAAAGGCAGTGTGCTGTAGGGTAGGGGCATGCACATGCAGATGTATCCTGTCAACAAACCCAAAGAGAAGAATGACAGAAAGATAGCTCTGAAAATAATGCTGCATCCTAGGCCTGCAGGGGAAGAGAAATGACCACCAAAGGGCTATGAACTTCCAGGAAGGTTTGTCTTCACAGAATTTACTGGAGACAGTAGAAATGAAGCAAGGTGATCTAAAGAGCTGCATCATGGGAACTTTCTGCTTCTTAATTAATCCAGAAAGCCATAGGGGCCAGGCCTCTCAAAGTGGGTGGCCCGTATTATTCAGCCATAAAGAAAAGGGAAGTTCTGATACATGCCACAGCATGGATGAACCTTGAAAACGTCATGCTGAGTGAAATAAGTCAATCACCAAAGGCCAAATACTGTCTGACCCCACTTACATGAACTATCTAGAATAAGCAAAAGCATAGTGGGAGAAGTTTATTAGAGGTTACCAGGAACTAAGTGGAGGGGGCCTGAGGAGTGATTGCTTATGGGGTATTGAGTTTCTTTTGGCGGTGATGGAAAACACTGGGAAATGCGCAGTGGCAATATTGCATAACATGGTGAGTGTAATTAATGTCACTGAAAGGTACACTTAAAAATGGTTAAAATGACAAATTTTTTTGCTATATATCTTTTACCACAATAATTTAAAAAAAGGGGGGGGGGCAGGGCAGATTACAGATTAAAAGGAGAAAAAGTAGCTGTGTCCAGACCACTCAGGTTCCAGAGCTTTTATGAATGGAGGCCTTTCTGTTATGGCAGGGCAGGGTTGGTGTTAGACACAGGGAATATTGGTTTCCTAAGAAGTGAGGGCAGGGGGCAGGGGGTAGGGGGCAAGGAGGATGGGTGTCTTTCTGCTCAGCATCTTCACTGTGTATAAGCCATGGCTCTCCCTCCACAGGAAGCCGAACTGGAACGTCTGGAACGAGAGTTTGCCATTCAATCCCAGATTACAGAGGCTGCCCGCCGCCTAGCCAGTGACCCCAACGTCAGCAAAAAACTGAAGAAACAAAGGAAAACCTCTTACCTGAATGCACTGAAGAAGCTGCAGGAGATTGAAAATGCAATCAACGAGAACCGCATCAAATCTGGGAAGAAACCCACCCAGAGGGCCTCTCTGATCATAGACGGTCAGTGCTAACCCCACTCCCCACACACTAAGGCCTGAAGGAACGAGGCTCAAGGTCCTATGAGTGGTTCTAATCCAGCTCCTTGCAAACCTAAGCAAGTTAGGTAACTAACCTGTGCCTTAGTTTTTCCATCCATAAAATGAAGCTAATAAGGCCTGATACCAGATGAGAGCAATGAAGTGCCTGCAGATGCACAGATGAAAGGTATTAATACAAATCATTATCACTATTTACTGCTCCCTGGGAGAACCTGCAAGGAACTCTGTGGTGCAGTGCCTAAGGCATTTGACTGCTAACCAGAAGGTTGGCAGTTCAAATCCTCCAGCTGCTCTGTGGAAGGACAATAGGGCAATCTACTTCCATAAAGATTTACTGCCTCAGAAACCCAATAGGGGTCGCTATGAGTCAGAAACGACTCGATGGCAGTGAGTTTGGTTTGGTTTGTTTTTTGGAGAACCTACAATGACTTGCTAAAGGCTCTTAGCCCTCAGCCTGAACTGAGCCAAGTTAGCTGACCAGCCTAGCCTAGTGGGAGGGAGACCCAACTCTGTGTAAGTCTAGAAGGCAAGGTGGGATACTGTGCCCAAGCAGCAGGACCCTGTCCTCATGCAGGCTAGCACTTCCTCCAAACCTCTATCTCCTCAGTCTCACTGTGTTCCAAGGAGCCTCCTATCTCCCCCAGGTTGGAACTACCTCTGTCAAGAGCTAAGCCTTGGGAGGACCACATCACCCCACTCTGATGGTCTAGAGCCCTGAGACAGGGTCAGTCAGCAGTTAAGAGTTTGGCTGATTCTATTTGGTAAATACTGGAAGGAAATACTCCAAAATCCATCAACAAGCAGAAAGTCCTCCAAACTGTTATAATCCCTTTTTTTTTAAGTCAGCAAATTCTTTCAAATATATATATGAAGCATTCCTTCATAGTTTGATGCATGTTTTAAGCATAGTTTATACGTGTTTGAGATACTTTTGTGGTAGGAAATTAGGAGCAACCCTCTTTCTCTACCTCACCCTGGTGGTGTTGGCCACGACTGTGTAACTTTGCCCCCTCTTTCTGGCAGAGCTGCAGTCAGAGCTGCTGCCTTTCTTTGTCTTCCACCTGGTTTATTACCTCTCTCTGCCCCCTCAGAGGTACATGAGGGTTCTTGATCCTGAGGAGACATCCAGCAGGGTCACCAGAACAGAGCTGGGTCAAGCACCACAGGGATGAGCATCTGGCTGATTTGCCACGAGAGGTGCTGGTTTTTCAGGCCACCCAGTGCAGGCTCTCTCGTTAGGACTGCCAACAGAGTCCAGTTTTCAGTCAGTACCCCTATGAACTGGTGAATCGTCCCTTCCAAGCCTACCGCCATTTTTTTTAATAGCTCAAGAACATACCTTCTCTGTTTTGCTGTCTTATTGAAATAATGTTTTCATTACTTGACCTGAAAAAGTCATTAAGGTTCTCCTTGGTTTCTTAGAATAGTTTTTGCTTGTTTGTTTGCTTTCAAATTTCAAAAAATAAGAGCCTAAGCTTAGAATCAAAAGACCTGGGATCTTTTCCTAGCTTTGCCAGGAAAGCAATAATCTTGATCTAACCACACTTCCCTAGGTGTGCCTAAGTTTCCCCAGCAGTTAAAGTAAAACCAAAAATCAAATTCACTGCCGGTGAGTTGGATCCGACTCATAGTGACCCCTCCTTGGGTTTCCAAGGTGGTATCACTACAGAAGTAGATTGCCCAGTCTTCCTTCTGAGGAGTGGCTAAGTGGCTAGTGGGTTTGAACTGCCAGTCTTCTGGTTAGCAGTCAGGTGCCTTAGGCACTATGCTACCAGAGCTCTTAGCAGTTAAAGAGGGGGGATTATTTTACTGTCTGCCTCTTGGGCATGTTCTCATGGTTGATTGAATGGTGTCCATAAAAAGAAGCTTCCAAAAGATAGAGGCTGTACTTAGCATGCTAGTTTACTCTACTAATGACTTAAGTTTATTGAAAAGCCATTTAATGCCATACGAGTAAAGCAAATTTCCTACCCTAGTTTTGTATTTGTAGACTAAATAGCAGTTTACTTCCTTTGGTTTAGTTGGTACATGCCCTGAGTTCATGCTGGGACGATAATGTGGTTTAGCCAAGATGGGGCAGCCTTTATATTGGATATTCAGCCACTGCATCTCAGTGTGAAAAAGGAACACAGACACACCAGTGCTGAGGGACATTGCAATGGCGGGGGTGGAACCGATGAGCTAATGGACCCACCACAGTGACTGTCAAACGCAGCGCCCATGGTGAACATTTTGACATGTGTAGTTTCATCATAAAAAGGAAAGAAATGTTCAACAGAATTTTTATGGGTTATCTCTGATTAGAAAGAGAAGGAGATGGAATGGTGGCAAACAGTATTTTCACAGATAGGGTTTTGCCTACGAAATGTACTAACTCATGGACTTTTGCTTTTCGTCTTCACAGATGGAAATATTGCCAGTGAAGACAGCTCCCTCTCAGATGCCCTAGTTCTCGAGGATGGTAAGTTACCCATGTCCTGCACAAATACTGGGAGCACAGTGTTTAAACTGTGCTTAACCTATATGTAGCCTGGAGACAGTTGGGGGTTAATGGGAGAATCCTTGTATTCCATGTGGGGTATCTGGGTTCCGTTCACAGCCAATGCACCTTATGTGCAGTCACCACTCATCTACCACTCATCTGTCAGTGGAGGCTTGCCACCGGGCAGTATTTTGTTCCATTGTGCCTGGGGTCACCATGAATTGGGGGCCCACGCACTGACAGCTAACCCCAAAAACAGTCTGGGGACAGTCCTGTGTAAAGGCAAGAGCCAGGTCAGGATGGCAACGTGAATTCTCTGCAAGTCTCTGATTTGCAGACATGGGTCTACGCAGTGATGGTGATGGTGGCAGTGGTAACAGGACATGCTCCATGACCACCTGTTTATTAGGAGTCTGAGTCAGTGAATGGTGCTCCCCTCTTTTTAGTAGCCAAAACCATTTTCAAACTAAACAGAGGGTCTAAACACTACACATAGTTTTCTTCTAAATAATGATAAGTTTTGGAAGAAAGAGGTAGAAATTGATTTGGATTGAAACCCACCCCTGGGGATGACAGGAAGGGACAAAACAAACCCTGTCTCCATATCTGAGTCTCTGAAAACGAGAGGAGGAAATGTCCCTTTCAAAGCCTGCTCAGGCCTTGAAAACTGTCTTATTATTTCCCATTGAACTTTAAAAACCTAGCAGTTTCCAGGATATTTTCTTCTAAAATTCTTAGAAAAATAGAACTGATGCCCTTGCCCCTGCTGCTGCCACCACCCAGATATATGAAAAGAAAGAATTGGAAACACAGAACCCGCTCTAAGAATGTTCCTGTGGATATTAAACCAAAACTTGGGAGGCAGGGGCACTAATTAGTTGGAAATAGATTAAGTGGCAGTTCATTTTTTTGCCCTATAGGAAAACCTCAGGCTGGCAGTGCTAAGTGGCTATTCAGATGGAAAACATGAAAGACCTGCCCAAGTCATAGTAATGATGATAATTGCAATCATAATAATCATTGCCATTGATGTGGGGAGAGCCTGCTGGGTTATTTACCCAGTCATCTTGGCCCTGCTATTAGAAGTCAGATTGTAATATTTTTATTATCTGTTTTGTTACAAGAGTAAGGAGGGGCAGAGGAGGAGGGAAAGTACAGAGTGTGCTAAGGCTTCTAGGTTGACAGTTTGAGAATTAGGCTGTGAAGAGAATGATAGTTGGAAATGGATTTCTGGACAAGTGAGAGGTAGTTGGTTTTTTTGACATTTGGTTTTGTGTCTTTTCCCCTCCAACTCTCACGCCTTCCTTACGAGTGCACACTGAAGGTCTGCTTCCTCTCTCTTTTCATTGCTACCTCCCCTGGGTTTTCATCCCTGGATAGCTTCACTAACACCCTCCCCAGTCTGTTCCTCACCTTTCACAGGTTTTAACCTAGCCAAATGAGTATTTCTAAAACAGTCTTTTTTCTTTTCGTTTTTAATTTTTTTGTGATTTGGTTGAAAGTTTACAGAGAAAATTCGTCTTCCATACAGCAGTTCACATACAATTTGTCTCATGGCATTGACTGTCACAGTAACAGCTTCCCCCCAACTTACTCACCATAGTTACCCCTTTCCCTGTGTCCTTCCCTCTCATGCACTTCTGCCCTCCACGCTGTCTCCCTGTGCATACACAGCCCTTCTATTCTCCCATGATTGTTCTCTCCAAGGAGTTTATCTACCTAATGTTACCTAATGTTACCTAGTTACCTAATGTAAATCTTCAGCTCATATGCCTGTCTTTTGTATGCCTGGAAGCCACAGGACTGGGTTCAATTCCAGACCTGAAGGGCAGCCAGGGGCCACAGTCTCAGGGGTTCCACTAGGCTCTATCAGACCAGCAAAAAACCTTGCCCCTTTTCTTTGAGTTTTGTTTCACATTGTTCTCCCACTCTATCCACTATCCAGGATCTCCTACATAGATCTCCCTCCAAGTGGACAGTGGTAGCCAGGCACCATCTAGTTCTTCTGGTCTCATGGTCATAGTGGTAGCCAGGCACCATCTAGTTCTTCTGGTCTCATGGTCATAGAGGCTGAGGATTGCATGGTGTACCAGTTGCTTGGACTAATTGTTTCCGGTTTTCTTCATTCTTTGCTCTGGATGAGGAGAGACCCATCTATATGGCTGCTTGCAAGCTTTTAAGATCCCAATTGCTACTCATCAAAGTAGGATGTAAAACAATGTCTAAAACAGTCTTTTCAACCACATACCATGCTTAACAGTTACAAACTTTTCCCGTGACCTTCAGAGAAAATCCTAACTTCTTTAGCCTTGAATGCAGGGTCCCCTGCCAGCTAGTGGTGGTTGTTACTAAGTGCCTTCAAGTAGATTTCAACTCATAGAAACCCCTTGTGACAAACCTTGTGACAAAGTAGGGTTTCCTAGGCTGTAATCTTTACAGAGGAGCCCTGCTGGTACAGTGATTTAAGCACTCAACTGCTAACCGAAAGGTCAGTCTTTCAAAGCTACCAGCCACTCTTCAGGAGAAAGATGTGGCAGTCTGTTCCATAAAGATTACAGCCTTTGAAACCCTATGGGGCAGTTCTACCCCATCCTCTAGGGTCACTCTGAGTCACAGTTGACTCAATAGCAAACAGTAGTCTTTACAGGAACAGATCACCAGGACTTTTCTCCCAAGGAGTAACTGGGTGGCTTTGGCTTCAAACCAGAAACCTTTTAGTTAAGCCACGTGCTTAACTAGTGCAGCACCAGGGCTCCTTCTGGTAGCTAGGATGCCTTGCTTATCACACGTACAGAGTAGGTCTGCTGACCTGACCACCATTCCTCACTGTCTCCCTCTGCTCCTCACAGGCTCTGTCCTAGCTGGGCATCTCCCCACCACTCTCAAACCATGCTTCAACACCTCTATGCTTTAGCTCAGATTCCTTCCTGCCTCCCCTCTCTGCCAGTTTACTAGTTTACTTCTAACTCCCTGTAGGACCAGCCTCTTCCACATGCCTTCCTTGATCAATTGAATGTGTTTTCACCGAGAGCCCTACAGCACACTGATTTGTCAGAGTATTAGTCTCCTGAGGTCAGGAGAAATCTATTTTCTATTATAGCTAGGTGCCATTAAGGTGGGGGTGACCCTATGTACAAGAGAACAAAACACTGCCCTGGTCCTGTGCCACCCTCCTTGTTGCTATATTTAAGTCCATAGTTGCAGTCACTGTGTCAGTCCATCTCGATAAGGGTTTTCTATTTTACGAAGTGTGATGTTCTTTTCCAGAGATTGGTCCCTCCTGATAACATGTCCAAATATTAATATTTGTTATTTGCAGCCTAGTTCCTTCCCAAAGAATTTAAGGCAGTTTCAAAAATTAATATTTCACACAGGAAGATATTAAATAGACACAGTTCTTCTGGGAAACAAACAGAGTAGATATCTAGAACCATCAGCAGTTAATTAAATTACACTCAGCAGATATACTGTCACTCATTTTTCCAACAAAAATTTATTGCTCACCAACTGTGTGTTAGCTAAGCACTGAGGATATAGCAGTAAACAAAACAGACAAAAAAAATCCCTGCCTCCATGAATCCATGAAGCTTATACTCCCCCAAAGCAAATTAGACACTTGATGTCTCTTGAAGGAAAACTTACACAATATAATAGTACCTTCAGTTTGCTGTTTGGTATGCAGCAATCCTTTGATTATGATATTGATATTTAATAAAATTCAGACTTCACTCTGTCTAATCAACAGAGATAGCGCTTCTCCCATTTAATTCTACTTGAAGTTTGTGTGTGTGGTTTGGCTTGAGTTAGCCTTACTTTCCTTGGCAACTGGGGAAAGTGTGAAGAAAGTGTGGATTTGCCAGTCTGGCTTCAAGGTATCAATCTAGTGGCAGGTGTGGGGCTCTGTCTCGTGCTTGCTCAGTTCCGCTCGTCTTTTTGTCTTTATGCAGAAGACTCTCAGGTTACCAGCACAATATCCCCCTTACAGTCTCCTCACAAGGGACTCCCACCTCGGCCACCATCACACAACAGACCCCCTCCTCCCCAGTCCCTGGAGGGACTCAGGCAGATGCACTATCACCGGAATGACTATGACAAGTCACCCATAAAGCCCAAAATGTGGAGTGAATCCTCTTTGGATGAGCCTTATGAGAAGGTCAAGAAACGTTCCTCCCACAGTCATTCCAGGTGAGTGGGGGGAGGGGGGTGAGTCCAGAAAGCCAAATGAGGCCATTGTTGATGCTTTGAAAGAATCTAATGAGTGTCCTAAGTTGCCTCCACAAATTAGAAAATCCACATCAACCTCTTTCTGCTTTCCTGGGTTTGCCTTGAACACACAGCTCCCTCTGCTGCTGACCCCGGTGAGGTACAGATACATCATTCAGTCTGGATTCTGGCTCATCATCAAACTTGGCAGATGGCTTTAATGTTGTTCAATTCCACAGGAATTAATTAGGGAATCTTAGGCAGCACTATTCCAGAATGGCAAGTGAGAGTCCATTCACATGAATCCCAGAGTGGTTTGGAACACTAAACCATTATCCAGCAGAATGCTGGAGCCAAACAACTGTAATCTTAGCTGTGTCCTATCAGCTCATTACTTACTGGGCTGATATTTTAGAGGGGTTTTTTGAAGGGAAAATTAAATTCTCGGTAGGTGTTTTTGCTTCAATTGTTTTTCTCATTTCTTTTAATTATCCCCCAAAAAGCTACAAGGGAATACCTGGACAGGTAAATGTTTTTCTCTTGCAAAACAAAAACTGTACTTGAGGGCAAGACCTTCTCAGAACAGTCACACTGTGCTTGCTACAGAGAAGGATAATGAGAGTGCCCATCCCATAATGCCTTGGGTCAGGGAGAAAGGCTAAGAACCAGAGTAGAAATGTTGGTGGGGGCAGGGAGTCCTAAACAAGCTTTCTCAATAGCAAGATTTATGTCCCATGGCTAGTCAGCCACTTAAGAAAAGGTGCCGTTTTGTCTGGAAATGACCAGCATGGCTTCCTTTTGCAGTAGCCACAAGCGTTTCCCCAGCACAGGAAGCTGTGCCGAAGCAGGAGGGGGAAGCAGCTCCTTACAGAACAGCCCCATCCGAGGCCTCCCTCACTGGAACTCCCAGTCCAGCATGCCGTCTACACCAGACCTGCGGGTCCGGAGTCCCCACTATGTCCATTCCACTAGGTGAGTCTGCAGGCCTTCGGGTCCCTCCCTCCACTGTACCAGACCAGTCACAAAGTGCCCAAAGAACTAGTGGACAACAAAGCCAGGGCTGAATAAGTGAAGTAGGTTCTCCTTGAAATGAAGCAGAATAAAAGACTGAGCTAACAGCAATAAGTCCACATTTGCCAAGAGCCTCTTTATATTCCACTGATCACATCCAATGGGTAAGAGAATCCAAGGTGCCTGGAGACAGTCAGCATGGAAGAAGTTTTCCTAACCAAAGTGGAGGCACAGAAGGCTAGCAGGGCAAAAGCTCTGGAGCAGAGCCACCTCTACAGAGGCCTGAATTTAGACTCCCTTTCAGTGGCTTAAGATGTAAATTTATTAAAGAGCAAAAGAAATAGCCAAATATTAGCTTCAGTGAATCATACCTTAATTTTTTAAGAAAATGAAACCAAGGTTGTCATTTCATCTTATCAAAAATTGATGCTATAGAGACCATACCTCAAAGAACAGTCAGTATGATCTTCCTCAAGTTACAGCCCATTTTATATGGGTTAAGGTTGAGCTCTCCAGGGAATTCTCCCATTCATAATTTCATTCATTCACACGACACACATTTAGTAAGTGCTTCTGTGCACCAAGTCCTCTCAGTGCTGGGGATACAGCAGTGAACAAATCAAAAACCACAGCCCTGCTCACATCAGACTTATATTTTAGTGGGGAATCACCATAAAGAAGGAGTCTCTGGGTGGTGCAGAGTTCTTAAATGCTTGACTACTAGCCAGAAGGTTGGTGGTTCAAACCCACACAGAGCACCACAGCAGAAATCTGCTTTCAAGAGGTGATGGCCTGAAAACTCTATGTGGAGCAGTGCTGCTCTACCCACGTGGATCACCATGAGTTGAAATCAACTCGACAGCAACTAGAAACACCACCACATGTAATATTTTGGAAAAGGATAGCAAGAATGGTGGTACAACATGAAAAATGCCATCAGTGTCCCTGAGCTGTAAATGTGAAAGTTATGTTGGTGAGTGTTTCTTTCCCTACAATAAAGGTAAAAAAGCAAGCAAAAGTGGTGGTAGTAGTAGATGGTAAGGAAAATGAACAGGCTAAGGATATAGAGAATGAAGAGAGAATCTTTAAAATAGAAGGATCAGAGAAGGCTCCTACCTCTAAGTAGTTAAATTTGAGCAGAGACCTGAATGAGTTGGGATAGCAAGCTCACCAGACATGGCCAGGGGGTGGGGGGCTTCCTCTCGACGGGAACAACAAAGACAAAGTGGAAGCAGACATAACACTGGGCATGTTCTGAGAAGGGAGCAGGCCATTCTGGGTGGAAGAGTGACTGAGGAAGGGAGCATGGTGGAGGATAGGATGAGAGAGGAACTTGAGGGGCAGGTCCACATTGTAGGACCTTCATCCTACCAAAGGACAGTCAGGACTGGAACTCACCTCACCCTGTATGTACTTGGCCATTGGGGCTCTGTGAATTTCACATGTAGTCTCAGCATTCAGCAATATAGTTCGCCATGTGATACTGATGGATACTTACAGGTATAGATTCGTTATTAAAGTGAATGGTATGGTAAGTATTTGTGACATTCATTTTTAAAAAGCATTCCATCAGCCATTTTAGAGTCTTCATGGGAAATGGAAATCTATTGAAGTAGTCTTCATAATAGTCTTTGGTTGAACCATATGAAGTGCCTCTGTTGGACTTCTTGGCCTACAAAACTGGGAATTTCATATGGTTTAACATAATACTAGGAAATACTAGGATAGTGATTCTACTGGTTCTCTCTGTATCTAGAGAATAGCTTTCCACTTTAAAAAACAAAGAGTGACCCCAGATATTGCTTATTTTTTCCAGAGGAAAATATTACCAGTCCTATGCCCTCTCAGCCCTACTTCCCATCCAGAATCCAGTGGAGGCTCTGGAGTCTGCCTCCCAGCACCCACTGCTTTGTTTGTCCTCACATGGGAACAGTATGAAGCATCTGGATTCTTAGAAAGGAACTCTAGTGGTGTAGTGGTTAAGGCATTTGACTGCTAATTAAAAGGTCAGTGGTTCAAACCCACCAGCTGCTCCAGGGAAGAAAGATGAGGCAGTCTGCTTCAGGAGAAACTTAACAGCCTTGGAAACCCAACAGGGGTTCTGTCTGAGTCAGAATCCACTCAATGTCAATGAGTTTGGTTTAGATTCTTAGGGCAACTCTGCCTTAGAATCTGAAGTCCTAACTACCTACTTTCTGGAAGGTTGAGCCTGCTTTGTGTTTGCTTTTTCTGAAGTCCAGTTATTGCAGGGTCCCCTATGTTCTCTATTCCCTCACCCCTTCCCTCTGCACTTCCAGACCAACCCGACTCATCTCCCACAGGTCGGTGGACATCAGCCCCACACGACTGCACAGCCTCGCACTGCACTTTAGGCACCGGAGCTCCAGCTTAGAGTCCCAGGGCAAGCTCCTGGGCTCGGAGAACGACACCGGGAGCCCTGACTTCTACACCCCAAGGACTCGTAGCAGCAATGGCTCAGACCCCATGGACGACTGTTCCTCTTGCACCAGCCACTCCAGCTCGGAGCACTACTACCCTGCCCAGATGAACCCAAATTACTCCACTCTGGCCGAGGACTCCCCGTCCAAGGCGCGCGAGCGGCAGCGGCAGCGGCACAAGTCGGCAGGCAACCTGGTGTCATCAAACTCAGGGAGCATGCCCAACTTGGCGGCGCGCAACGGCTCTGGCCCTCACGGCGTCTACCTGCACAGCCAGAGCCAGCCGAGCTCACAGTACCGTATCAAGGAGTACCCGCTATACATCGAGGGCAGCGCCACGCCCGTGGTGGTTCGCAGCCTGGAGAACGACCAGGAGGGCCACTACAGCGTGAAAGCGCAGTTCAAAACCTCTAACTCCTACACGGCGGGCGGCATGTTCAAGGAGAGCTGGCATGGCGACGAGGGCGACACAGTGCGGCTCACGCCGTCACGCTCGCAGATCATCCGGACTCCATCACTGGGCCGCGAGGGCGCCCATGACAAGGGGAGGGCCGCTGTCTCAGACGAGCTGCGGCAGTGGTACCAGCGCTCCACGGCTTCGCACAAGGAGCACAGCCGCCTTTCTCACACCAGCTCCACCTCCTCTGACAGCGGCTCCCAGTACAGCACTTCCTCCCAGAGCACCTTTGTGGCGCACAGCAGGGTCACCAGGATGCCCCAGATGTGCAAGGCCACATCAGGTGAGATA